GCCAGGTCCAAAACATCCTTATTCAACGCATGAATGAAAAAGCTTTTTTAAATTTGACATAATAAGTGTGGAAACAAGCTGTAACACTAAAACGAGGCTACCGAAAGCTTCGTTCTCGAGTTATGGCTTATTTCCGCATTTATTATGTCAAAAGGAAACATTGTTTGATACGCGAGAAAAGGTTCCATGGGGCAGAAAACTCACAAAAATCTATCCGCACACGGTGAGCTGTCGCCTGAGCTAACAGGCACGAGTAACCCCTAGCTCAGCTGATAGCTCTCGTGTGCGCAGGCATTACGAGAAAGATAGTCTACTGTCTTTGAAGAGATCTGTTTTAAACTTTTTAAAATCTTCGTCTTAGTTATTGTATATTGGACGAACGTTTATAGGATTCTATGTATCTCACTGTAACATATATAGTATTAAACTATTGTTTTAGTTATATATTTTTATATCTTGATACTAAGTTTGTAATTGTAGTTTTTAACTTGAATTTGCAAAAGAAATTATTTGATTTAATGTCAGGGCCTCAAGGGAGAACAGTTTTTACTGATTGGGTAATCCTGGGTGAATAAAGCTTATCAAATAATCAACCAAACGCCTTTAATGCTATAACAACGGTTGCCAAAGGCGAAAGTTCCAAATAGATTTCGACTCTACATATTATACATGCTCCCTAAAAGTCATAGAAAAGTTTAGTCATCTAGACAACGCTTAATATCCCTGTTCAAGACGTGTATTTGACAATTTCATTAAACTGTAGGGAGCCATCTTGAATTCAATAACATACATGCAGGGTGAGTAAAAATTCCAATTAGCCGCGAACTTATGGCTGGAATTTGACAATTCCATTGTTTACCATCAACAAGACGTGGTTAACTAATGCGAAAGTGTTTAAACCAATTGAACTAATTCCACGTTCTTTTTTATTACAGAGCTTAGAATGCATTTTAACTCCCAGAGGGAACAAACTTTATGTTCAAGGTTAATTAATGGGTTCACTTATTTGATATGCTTTGTATACCCATAAGATATTTTAGGCAACTTCTGTCTCGTTACAGCCGATTACAGACACATTGCAGCTAATTTGAATTTCAAAGGTATCAGATTTTGTTGACTCACCCTGTATACCAATTAATGGTCAGACATGATATATATCAGAACTAAAGCCAGGCGCACACGACGCGATTTTTGTCCTACGATTTTAGTTAGCCGATTTTAATCGGCAAATTCAAATTGTTTTGACATACTCCGATTGCAGTAGACCGACTAAAATCGCTTGACAATGACATCGGCAAAGCAAGGATTTTGTAGATCGAATAAAATAATAGAACAAAAATCGGGTTGCGTGGCTTTACCTACCTTCAGGGATAACATATTTTCCTACTTGCCGTCGTGAAGAACTTCACCAATCACCACCACAATATATTGCCTACCATTACACCGATTGCGGTTATATTAATATGTCTCCAAGCAAAGTCTCAAGGAATTGTATAAAGAATATATGCAAAATAATGAAGAAATGCCTTTCAAACAATTGTAGTAAATCATTAACTCAGCGAGGGGTAAAGTGACAATACTGTGGCAACAGATCATTGATCTCAGCATTTTGCGAAGAGGCTTAGAAGATCGACTCAGCCTTTTTGAGTCTAACGCCTGTATTCAAAAAGCTCACTCACACTCATACTCATCGAGTGTGACATATAAATTTCGTTAATGCTGATCAATGAGAAAGTTTTTTTCTGAATAGATGGAAAGATATAAGGTAAATCACTGAAAATCAAGCCCCTGTTCGGCTGGAAATACCGCCATTGAAACGTTATGAGAAGATTAAGATCTCCCACTCAATGAGTTTGAGTGTGAGTGAGCTTTTAGAATACAGTCGTAAGTGTTTAATCATTGAGTCGCTAATGAGAATCGTGTTCACACATTTGCTCTCTTCGTCGAATGGACTGGTCGTTCGTTCTGTCTTTGTTCGCTGTTGTTATCAACCTCTTTATTTGATTTTTTTATGTCTCTTTGCTCTGTTATTGTTGATGACGTTGCTGACTTTACGTTTTCTATGAGGTCATCATCTGTATGTAGTACTTTCGGAATCACTTAAGACGGTACAACTATTATGAGACTGATTCCGCATCACCTCATTATTCTTCGTCAGTTTATCTGTAGAATGTTTGCTTTGGTATTTAAGTTTCCTTTTATCTCCCTTATTTTTATTAACATAGTTCCACTGTTCTTCCTCTTGCAAGGTTTTAATTACTATTGTCAAGCTTTTTTTCTCATTTTCCAATTCTTTTATTTGACGGTTACATTTGCTAATTTTATCTTTATACTGATTATTCTCTGCTATTATAATTAAACTTCCGTTTTCTTTCTCGGATTTATTAATTTGATTGAGTTCCTTGTGCATTATCTGAAGGGCGGTTAATAAGCTTGCTTTTTCATTTTCAAGATTCTTGTTTGTTGAACTTAAATGAGCTATATATAGTGTATTTCATGATTAAGTTTTCCTTCCGTACCTCGTCATTAGGGAGGTTAAGATTTACTTCCACTACCAGTACCGATACGAAAATACATGACGTATTACAGTTTGGCAGCGCGGAAATTTTAAAGCGTTAAGATTGTGACTTCCGTAAGAAGTAAATAAACATGGCGGAGTATAGCGGCTGTATTCACATCAAAAACTCTAATCAAAATCCTTAAGTCTCACCAAACAAAGCAGAAACATTATACAACTAAAACCTAAATAATATTATTAGAAAACTACTGCAGAAAATGACAATAATACAGTAAATATAATTCGGTACTTCGCCTATACCTATCCACTTCCATTTTCAGCCCCAAAACGGTACTCGCGACTTCTAGTGTTGTCACATTTTGGACTATTGTTACATCTGCGCATGCGCGTGACTGATTATTGGTATCGGTACTCGTAACGGAAGCCGATCTTAACCTCCCTATTGGCTCTACTCAACTCCAACTTCTCTCTCTTTAGTTCATCAGGTCTACTTTCTAGGATTACAATCGAGTACGGTTTGTTTTCTTTAATATCGCTTATTTCAGTTGCAAGGTCATCCAATTTACTCGATACTTGCTCAGCGAAGCTCTCGAGTTTAGATTTCAGGGCTCCAATTTTGAACTCAGAATTGTAACTCGTCGGACAAATGACAACCACACGGGATAAAAGACTGTGACGCTGTATGCAAATTTATTTCTTTAATATGCAAATCTCAGCTTGTTGACAAGTTTGTGCTCGTTTCGTCTCTTGGACTTTGAACTTCAAGATTTAAAACTTTATTTTGGACGCCCTCCTTAGTTTGTACTCCTCGGCCTTTTCCCTTTAGTCTGCATGTCATAACCCTCACACTCTACAGCATCAGATGATATATCTTTACTATTTATCTCTCTGTCTCTGTAGAAGTTTGGCTGAACATAGCTAGATCAGTCTCTATAGAATTGCTACTTCATTGCCGTACGGTCATTCTCAGCAAGCTTTTGATTTGTATAAGAGTATATTCTTTGGATGAGTTCGTCTCCATTCTCACCTTTGAAATGTTTATTTAATAAACATTTTGGCTTTTGCTATGCCATGTAACTGACAACATCTCGCAACTGCCAAGTTCCCACACTCGGTGAATGCCAAGATGTCCTTTCTTCGCTCATTTCGGTTAGCACCATTGATTTATGGTCTTCCAATGATCCTGACCACTTCAATTTACCTTTTTAAGTTAAACGTAGGTGTATATAATGTATTGAAGGCTATAGAACACATATTTCAACGCGATATTTGTATCGATTTTTTGGGGTTAAAATGCGGACACGGATGCGGAACGGATCGACGGAACAGGACGTATAGGGTCAAAATGCGGAACGGATAATAGGTTAAAATGCGGAACGGATATGGGGTTCGTTCTGGTTACGCCCCTGTGCATGTAAAATCAATCAATCCAGTGAGCAATTATCCATTAAAGAAAAAAAAAATGGATTGATTGATCATTATTAAAGCTACAAGTTTGTAATGAGCAATGCTATCACATATCCGAGTACTGCATGTATGTGAAGTTAATTCGAGAGCCCTAAACAAAAACAAAAACAAAAACACTACACCTAGGCAAACAGAAAGAGCTTTTTGGATAGTATTTCATATACTTTATTTGGATTGAATACTGTATTTGGATAGGGAACAAAGGAGCTGCTGCACGCATGTATTCCTTGTTTAATTTGTCAGACTATTATATACGCTTTGTTTGAAAATTAAGGAAAGTATAGTAACCATGACGTATTTTTCTTACCCAATTAGTATAAAACTTTGGATAGAATTCATAATAATGCCGTTTAGGGCCACCGGTTCTCAGAAAAGTGGAATAGTTTGTTTGATACGACAGAGCGAAGGTACAAGAATGAAATACACATATCAAATAAATGTATTATAGAATATCGACATAAATACTTGGAGAACATAACCAATAACATTCTTTCATAACATGTTTTCGTTTAGAACAGTTGATACTGACATCAGCTATTTTGCAAGTCAAGTGATCAAGTTCATAATGTTTGCGAAACAAAGTTATGTTTTATTGCAGTGCAAACTTTAACTATTTGCTTACACAGGCATATAAGTTTAAGTATCCTACCACCTGCTAGTCAACAAACATGGAACATGCTCTATAGTATATACAGGAATGTACAAAATCGTGCGCGTAAATATATGTATCCTTATTTACAACCGATCAGGTGATGAATTAAAAGTGATAAAAGAAAATCTTTGTACGCATTATGTCTCTATATAGAACTGTTGCGAAAAAATTGAAGTTTAAAAATTGTGCAGTTTTCATGTGTTTCGACTTGTCGCATGCATGATTTTGGTGTTTAATTTGAATGCCTTAAATGTTTGCAACTAAGAATTCTGTGCGCTTTAACAATAACATTAAGATATTATATTTTCCTAATTTAGTATAATATACTCGTGCCAAATCCAAAAATTCAGAAAATGTACAGGAAATGTAGGAAGACGGCCCCTAAGATCCATACCAGGTATTTGTCGTGGATGATGAAGACGAGGTGCATCTATATTCGGTATTCCAACACTCATATCCACCAAGATTTTCCTCACACTCGGGGTACCCATTGGGATATTGCCAGTCGCAGCTGTACCTTGCATTCCTATTTGGACTTGTAAAGATATTCCATGTGGACGTTTGCACCATAGCAAGCGTGCAGTCTGCGCATGATCCTCCACGTATGTTTAAGTACTCCACCAATATGCATTTTTGATCAGTATTATCAATATTATAGGTCAGAAAGTCAACCACGCTGGTTTTGAGGCGGACGTAATCAACCATGTCTTCAATAGACTGACTATCGTAATTACACGTCACACGGAAGTGGGTTGAGTTCTCCTGAATACTACTAAATCTTGCTTTAGACAAACGATAATCCTGCCAATTCTCAGGATTTTTTATATTTCTTGGATTATCCACAAATAACTGTTTTTTCTGATAATGCGGCAAAATATTTCCCAAGGAAAAGGACTGAACAAGGGTCCACACTTTGCCATCATGCAAATTAAAATCACAGTAAGCAGGGAAGCTTTGGTTAAAGTTATCAAACAATGTGTACACTCCAGATTGACTACCAGGATTCGCATCATATATCGTTCGGCAGCTCTTCGGGCCAATTTCGCAATGTTCTCCTTTAATTGCGAGATGTTGAGGACAAATACAGCGATATCGTTTTGTTGAGGACGTGGGACATTGTTCAATGCAAGTTCCTCCATTTAAACATGGGCTACCTGTACTACAACAGCTTTGTCTTTGTGTGCAGCTCCCACTTGTGGCGCCCTAAAAATACGCGAATTATAAATTACATGCCTGCTTTTAAATGTTCTAACTTAAGATGGGAAATACCGAACAATTACAAGTCTACGCCGGCCAAATTGTGCAAGTTCGGATGGGATGTCTCGAAATATAATGATTTGCTTTTATTCAGACGGTAAAATACGGTAATTAGTGATTTTTTATCCTTTCGCGATATACATGGATTTTGAGACGAATAGAAGGACTGCATTTAATTCAATCTGATGAAAATAACATTTTTGTCTATGGAAGGACTGAGGCTAGAGAAAACAGACTCAGAGTAGTTTTATCTTTTCTTTGTTTTTGAACTTTTGTGTACAGCGTAGGAAAAGTCTCTGCAATATAGTCGCCTATGCAGATGCACTCCTCAGTTGGATTCAATTAAGTCTCTGATTGGCTAACAGCCATGTGTGAAATCGTTATGTCCAGCGAGTGACGTCATAACGTAAGCCACGACTTTTTCTGCCGGCTATTACGTCATAACGTGTGATAAATAGTTGTATTTCATTGTTATGACGACACACCGATGGCAAAGACATGAACGTCCCAAAAGAGCGGGAGTGTAAAACAACTGATATGTGAGACGAACAAAGTTGCAATGTTCATTTTTTTGAATAAATAATAAAGCAATCATTGAAGTGGGTTGTTAGACTAACGAGAAAACTTCGGCTTGATAGTTCTTCATATCACGTTTATAAACCGCAAAAATAGTTCTCGTCACTACAGTTACCTTTAGTTAGAACAAAAAGTAATTAAATCACCCCTTTCTGAAAATGAAACAGGCCTAAGTGTGTCATAAAACAGGCCTAGATGTGTTTTTTTTCTTATTTTTAGACAATCAGTTTGCTAACCGAATTCTGTGTCTTCCATGACAATTCATAATAGGAACAGTCTGCGTTGTCACTTAATGCTTTATTCTCTTGATTACCGGAGTTTAACTGGCAGGTCTTCCCGCAGACATTAATCGATTTGCACTGACAATTCTCCACACATTTTCCAAAACACCCTATTGCTGTCTCCGACGTTGTGTTGACCACTACAAGGCCTTCTATTTGGCTTTTTTCTCGCTTTCCATCAGGAAAATTAACTTGTGGTGTCAGTTTGCATGTGGAGTTTACAACAGAAATGTAGAAACTTTCCAAAATGTAAATCAGGAAACAATGTTGAATATGCAGTTTCATTCTTCTTCGCTAAATCTCTATAAATGTAGATACATAAATAAACGACGAAAAACAACGAAAAAATTAAAATTATAAATACATATCAATATATTATACACTCCATTGAATATACTCGTGAACATGTTATTCGAACAAGACCTTGAAAGAAAAGAAAAGAAAAGAAAGGAACAAATCTCAACAAAAGTAATAAAATACGACGAATCAAAGGACTGCATGCACGTATTTGATTATTTCTGGATAACGTCTTCTTTTATTTTCATTTTTTTAGTGCTAGATGAGAGTTGTTTTCTGATTAAAAATAATGAATATCTGTTTAAAACTGTACCTGATGCGGTTTTCAAATATGGAGAACTCTGGTGACTGGTTTTAGTCTGAAGTTGATGTTGAATGTATACTGATGCTACGGTGACTGTTGCTCAGGCAGTATGTAATATGATGTTTCATCTCTATAACTGAATGAATCTATATACTGGTGGAGAATTTGTGAATATTCATTTTTCTTTAACCTGATGGATATTTACATGTCTACCTGCTATTGCGGTTAGATCGAAACGTCCACCAGTCTTCTCGACGTCTTTAGTTTTTGTTACTAACAACTAAATGGCGTGAGAAAATCCGAATGCGAAGAACGAAAGTAAACGTTTTGGCCTTGCTTGTATACACGTCACTCTAAGGTCTTTACTGTACAGTGTTTAAAAACAACAACGAACAACATGAATTACGCATTCGAACGAGCAAATTGGAGGGGGGGGGGGGGGTGCATACATTGACATTGACTTTGGTTAGGTATGACTCAGTTGTTGATGTCTGGAAGCAAACTAACAGGTTTTTTATGTATGAATAATTAGTTTATAAAGAAATTTAATTGAAAATAAAATAATTATAATCAAGTATACCCATGCAAGCGTATACTTTAATAATGCGTTAATAATAATTTTATCCCAAAGGCCATTCACATTGTAAAAAGTAGCTACTATAGCGTCTTATTGTTCCCTTTTTTTGCTGTCTTTTAACTTTAGAGAGATTATAGTAGAAATTTATACATTCTACACATAAATATTAATCTATACATCTTCACATATACCTTTCAGAATACGATGCATTGAGAATATCCACATCGCTATCACTATCGACAATGTTTATCGTAGATTTCTCGGTGCTTGCTGTCGAACTATACGGCCACAACCTACGCCCAAAAATACCGTTTCTAATTCATGTTATTCGGGATCAAATTCCTGCAGAATGTAATTCGAAACAAATCGTAAAATAAAAGATGTCATGTTGGATGTGGTTGACTGGCAGATCTTGGCACACTTTGAACTTAAACAAGACGCCTGTTCTGGCGTTAACTCCGGCGTGCCGCGCACGTGCCAGTCTTCAATATAAAGCTTCTGAACATAAACAATACAGTTCATACTCATTTAGATGCCTTGCGAACCTAAATGTTGTTCGATCGCGACATTCAGAAGCACATCGTACAAAGTATAGAAAGTATAGAAGTATAGAAGTTCGTACAACGTACAGAAGCACATCGCACAAAGTATAGAAGTTCACAAATGTAAATAAACCGCATGATACGTTCATTTTGTCTTACACTTTGGAATTCGCGCTTATAAAATCTTCAATCCTGTGCAAACTGTGATGTGTCAAGGCGCCCATACACGACCACATCTTCTTAAACGGCGAAATAGCAGCGCGATATTATTAAAGTAGGACCTGAATCTATATGTATTAAATATATTCTTACCCCAATTAATCGAACAGCATCAAAAGAACGGTTTATTTTTTCTCTTGGATGAATTTCCGTATCATTCGAGCGAAATCAAATCGTGCATCGGAAATTTAGATTTCGAGCTGTGCACCACAACTCTTGGGAGACAAAAAAAAACAACAAAAACAAAAACAAAATTTTCGTCTAAATAATAATTACGTACATCGATTAATTCCTTTCTTTGTTTGCCGTATTTCCATAATATTTTTAGCCAGCAAGTCCAAAATTAACCCAGCTTGCGTGAGAAATTACCTCGAACTAAGGATGGACGAAATTTCAACGAGATTTCTTTGGATTACCAATTTTCGACATGTTCATATGGCCCTTCGTCTCTCGCTTTAGTTTCTAAATTTCTATCCGCAAAATATCCCCGCCCGCCATATTTGCCCGAAAAGTGGCTGGGGATAAACGCCTTTCGAACAATCGGCTCCTGGGCGCTTACATAATGTAAAACAACCTGATAATAATAGACGGAGTAGAATCGCGGCACGCGCGCGCCACGAGAACGATCGAAAACGTTTCTGGGCAGCCGCCTATATGATTAAACCAGAGTAACGATTATTGCGATGGATTATAATATACCTGATTGCCGTAAACGTATGTTAACTCAATTCATTGAGCATAACTTAACTAGGTGTAGCTCAAGGGACGTATGCCTCTCACTCACACTTTACTCTGGAACGTCTGTATTCTAAGAGCTCACTCACACTCAAACTCATTGAGTGGGAGATCTCAATCTTCTCATAACTTTTCCATGGCGGTATTTTCAGTCCAATAATAGCTTGATTTTTAATGTTTACCTTCAATTATTCCATGCATTAACGAAGAAATAACTTTCTCATTCATCAGTAATGACAGACGTTACACTCAATGAGTGTGAACGAGCTTTCTCAATAGACGAAAACCTGAGCTACACCTGCGTGTGTGAGCGGTGTTTTTGAACAATTGGAGTGTGAGTGTAGCATTATACCACGGCCTAAGATCGATTTAGTTATAATAATCGAATTTCCGCATAATTTACTCTTTCCAAACCTAAGTTTTGATTTGTACTTGTATTTCTGTAAGTTTTATACGGTTTTATTTGTTAGTTTTCGTGTTATTATATAATGTACCCCTTGTTCTGGGTTTGGTAATGAATTTATGGAAAGGTCTTGCGTAATGAATAGAAAGAGGTCTGCATGGGTATATACAATAAGAATAATAACATTATAAAATACCATAATTTCAAATATTTTCAGTGAGTAGATTAAAGTTTTTGGACATTTTTTTTGAAATTCATAATCAATATTATTCATCGTCATGCAGGTATTCTCAGTTTAAAATTGCTGCAGTAATTTTTCACTAACGGCAGGATCTTTCTTTCTTATGAATACTAATCGTCAACCTCCTAAATTGGCAAAAATGTTTCATTCCATTGATATGCAAACGACTAAATTTCACCAATTCACCCCATGCCAACAATTTTCCATGGTTACCAGTAACGTAAAGAATAAAAATTCCTTATCGGCAGGGTATAACTTTATCACTATATGAAAATTTAATAACACTGATTTAAATTGAGTAGGCCGATCTTTCGCTTCTCGATACTCCCGACAGACTCCTATGAAACGATTTAGAAAAGGTAAGTGTTTTTTCTATTTCACTTTTAGTCTACTTAGTTTACTTAGAAAATCATAGCAAACCAGTTTAACTGAAAAATTTCACTTTCCTGGTTGTAATATGTGTCCATCGCGCCTACTATAGCTTCCGTCTGTTTGATGTTAGTATTGAATCAAATTGACACATGTAATATCCTAAGCTGCTTTTTATTTCTCCTACGTGTTTTGCCTCAGTTATCTGCAATCAACTGAAGACAGCGAAGTGCAATACATCAACATTTGACTACCGGGAAAATTTACGATGCTCAAAATGCGTTATATTGTAATTATAATTGGATTTTCTGCTACTAACATTCGAGTTGTCATTGAACTTAAGTAAATGGAAGAATGGCGGGAAAATTATTATCAGGAGACCAGACAAACTTCAAAGTATCTGTTTACCTGAGCTAGCACGGCTTTACCGAGCACAAATTTTCTGCATAATTATCCGCACAATTTACAGCATAATATTTAAATAGTATGGTTTAAAAATTCAAAATTTTGATGCCATTAAGCCGGTGAAATTGACTTATTATGAACTTTGACTTATTTTCATTTTATCTTGCATAATGCCGTGATGTCTTTATTTGCGTCAATGTAAGGCAACTTGCACTAGCACGTAAAACCGAGAAAAGCGGCTCCCTGTTATCTCAACTTAAGGCCAGTTTTTTACTTCCTGTGTCATTTACATTCCAAAAACATATTCACTTTCAAAAATACTACGTGCTCTTTTACGGTGGCGTTTCAGTGCCCTTTGTTAATTTTTAAGTATTTTTAGAAACTATGTCAAGTTAATTCTATACATTACCCAAATATGGATTCTATGTGGCCTTAGCTCTCACATTTTTGAACTTATACTTAATTTGCTACTGTAGAATATAGGCGTTTCTGCGATCTGCATGGGGGGCATTTTAACATAATTTTTCAATAATAATGAGCAACATAAATCTTCATTAGTTGATGCTTGCCATCGTTCACATGTGCATGCCGCTGATCTAATAATACACTGGATAAAGCAACTGTCCACAAGGAAGCCAGAATTAATGAATCTCCAGAGCTCTCATTGGAATAGTTAATTTATTACGTGATCGACCAGAAAGAGTGTTTCTGTGTATACCTCTGTATGTTCATGGTACGGTTCTAGTTTGCATCAGGGGCCGGTTGTACCAAGCCCGTTTAGCTTAAACGGTGGATAAGTTCAAAATAGAAAGCGAGTCTATCTTTTTATTCAACAAGCTAACTAAATGTTTTTAACCTTAATACAAACTTGAAGATACTGTTTACAACTACATATTTAATGCATAATATTCAAGCCCCGTTTACACTACAGTCAATTTATCGGCACGGCACGGCTAAAATTGGTACCCGTACCCAATTTTATTAGTGTTCAGGCTACCAAAACAAAGGCCGAGCATAGATAAAACGGGCACGGGTACCTATTTTAGCCGTGCCGTGCCATTAAATCGAGTGTAGTGTAAACGGGGCTTCAAGTTCACTCATTCAAGGGAGATGTAAGAGTGTTATTTAATTTTGACTTATCCACCGTTTAAGCTAAACGGGCTTGATACAACCGGCCCCAGGTTTACTGCATG